TATAGTTATAAGATTTTTTGAAGTCTTCTTCTCCAATCAAAATAACACAGTAGTCATTCATGGTGTAGTCTATATATATTTATAATTTCCTATGTAGTCCACTCAGTAGCTCGATTATTCCTGAATATGGTTTTATAAAATGACAGTATTCGAAATTTTCAGTATCTAGATTCTTTATAGCTTGTATCACTTTATTCCTGTTGTTACTGCTTATTACGCAAAGTCTAAAATCCTTATTTTCATGCATAAGTGTAGAATTTAAATCGCTCATCTGTTCTTCTTTATCTAAAATTGTGCTTTGATGGTCTTCATGTGTTACATTATTCAATACAGTTTTTTCTTTAGTTCTGGTGTTGGTTGAAAACTACCTGGCTTAAAAGTGTCTAATCTAATTTTGTTTTGTTTCCCTTTTTTTGTTTCTTTTTGTTTTTATCTATCTTTGGAGTTGAGCGACATAAATTAGCCATTGTATCAGTTTTCTTTTCATAGGCTATGATTTGTTTTCTTAAAAAACTGTCTTCTATTGATAGATTGTCTATTTCTTTTTCCGCACTTTCCAACTTCCTTTCTAAGTAAGTGATTTTAGCTCTTACTTCTCCCAACTGCTCCCTGTTTTTGGGGCTTATTTCAGGGCAGCTGCGATTTAATTTACTAGTCTCTATACAAGAACAATCCTCATCGACAGATCTCTCCAACTCCAGAGACTCAGTATTTTTTAATGAAATCAAAAAATGTTGAGGTGTTTGTGTATTATTTTTACCCACTTTCGGTGATATTCATGATGTCTGTTCATTAGTTTGTTGTGATGTTTTTGGTTTATGTGGATAATTTTCAGACTCTGTGCAAAGTGTAACAGTGTTTGGACGAAAGTGAGAATTATAAACCAAACTTGCTGTTGACGTTGATGAGCTATTCATTGTGTGCATAATGTTTACAGTTACAGCCCCTGGTGTCTTGGTGAGCTTGTACATTCTCTTAGCAAGAGTGCGCACTTTACGCATTTCCATTTGTTGCTTTTCTTCTCTTTCATTGAGTTAAATATTTTTTCTGTTACGTTTGTACAGTTTAAGTGGTGAAACTTTAAACAAACTTGTAACAAAAAGTATGACTCGGTCGTTTAAACGCAGCACAGGCAGCGACGTTATTATTACACTGGTAACAAATGTATTTTAGTTTGGGAAGATTTAACAATATTAAGTCATTAGTTACCACGAGTTATTTAAAAGTTCAAACAGTTGTTAAAGTCGTCATGTTCGTGTCTTAAATTGTACTATTACAATGCACACAAATATTATTTTTTGTTCCAAATATTTTAAGGTACAGTCAAATTCACATACATATAAATTTTTTTTTCATTATTTCCTTATATTATTATTTCATATTAGTTTACTATAAATTTATTTATATTTTAATATACAATATTGAAAACTATAATAATAAAAAAAACTAAAACTAGAAACTTAATTATCATATAGTCCTACTCCCCGCGGTATCGTGCCAAGAACGCTGGCCGCGATTTTTAACTTTTGTTATTAAACCAAAATGTATTTAAACTAAGAAAAACACTTTATACTAAGGAATTCGATTGGACTCGATCTAACAAATTGAGTTCATACTAAAGCATTAGACCGTTTGACCAATTTACTAATACTTGTACCAGTTCAAAAATGTCATTACTGTTTCAAAATTATGATTTACGCTCAGTTAATTGGTTGGTTTGCGCAGTGTTATCAATCATGGAAAACTTTAGACATTCGAAACGGTAACCGACTTTTTCCAAATAAAATTTTGGTTTCCACTTTTTTCTATCACTTTTTCTTATGTAATGATTAGGTTAAACACAATACAGTCTAAACTTGATTTATACACTGGTAAAGAAAAATAGTATACATGTTTTCACTGACTTTCTATGCTGGATTTAAAAAATATGATAAAGCACTTTCACTTAATAATCAGAACAGGAAGACTTTATATTTAACTTCTAGCGATTAAAATATCTATAAAACAAATTTTAAGGATTTAATTTAAGCAAAGCACTTGTTACTCGATCGCTAGCGCCACCAACAGTATTAATAGTACATATAAAAAAATGTCTCAACCACCTTAAATATTCAACCATCTAGCGGCTACAGATATTCAATACTACATAACATACCACTGACTGTGAGGCGCGCCACATTATTAGATGCTTTTTCTGCAAGTTGTGAATATGAATGATCAATATGGCGCTTCTTTGCATATTTATGATCAATAGTCATCGCCTTGGAATTAAAAAAAGAGAATAAACAATTAAAAAAGGTTGGTTAGTTGTAGGTATATTTATTACGGTTTTGAAGACTAACCTGTTTCTATGAAATTTATTGACGATTTTCCTGAAGAAATTTCCAAGTCAGTAAATAAACTCGGATAGGCGTCACACTTGAGATGATTCATCTTCGGGTTAATAAACTTTTGCTCAAAATGTTTATGGCAAACATACATGTTCTTAGTGATTTCACTACTTTTGCCAACGAGGTTACTATAACCTATGCACTATAACAATCTGTTTCTAATATCTTTATTTGCCGGTAATTAATGAAACATTTTCCTAAATTTCACCCTGGTGTTGCTTTATTTGTGGATTTAAAGATGATCGGAGCAAGCACTTTTATCAACAAAAAATAAGCTATGGCGGGTGAGTGACATTGACATCTCAAAATGGCTTACCTGGAGTTTGCGGGGGTGAAGAAGGCTAAAGAGAGGCGCGGAACGTCTTCTTGCAATGTCACTCTATACGAACCAGTTTTTTTTCGTTAAGACATTACTTGGCGTGGTATTTACTACCTGAGTGTGGTCCACGCTACCCATATTTTGTTTATTACAATTTACGAGTCAGGGATAGGTAGAGTGTGAGTGAGCGAGAGAAGAGTATAATGTTAATACATTGTACCTTTTCTCGCGCGACTGGGCACGTAACTAAGGCAAGTATTTAGTGCGTCTCTCGATTTGTTAAGTATCGCATGTGTGCATTCCTTTTGGAGTCTTTGTGATTTTATTATCAGTTTTATAACGACGACTCCTGGTTATTTCATTGGACTCTTAGTTTTGCTTTGTGATTAGGACTTTGTTTGGTAATTTTACGACGACTTGGCTTGTATCTGAACTGACATTGTGTATCAAGATGCCACGTATTCAATATACGGCACAAGATTACGCAAACATGCACTTCATTTATGGTGAATGCAGAAGCAACGCAAGTGCAGTTTACAACGCACGATTGTTTTTTTTTGTCGACAAATGCTTGCAAAAATAGAACAAGATACACAATTCTTTGGCAAAATTCTGTGGAGCGATGAATCCACTCTTAAAAAAAGACGGATATTTTACCATGCATAGTCTGCACAGCTGGCAACTCTCAAATCCGCATCTAATGCGAGAAGAAAGATCACAATACCAGTTCAAAATAAATTTTTGGACTGGTATATTAAACGGAAAAATCATTGGTCAATTTCAACTGGCCGGAAATTTATCTGGACAAAGTTATGGAAATAATTTAATGAAAGAGGTGGCTGAGGAGGTAAGACAATCCCACTGGCTACAAAATGATGGTTGTCCTGCACATTATGCTCCAAACGTCCATAAGCGGATTTTAAATAAAATGACGCGATACGAAAGCGGAACCTAATATTTTTCATAAATCGAAATGGACATGTGGATATTTCGGTGGTAAATATAATAAATTGTCCTATAATGTAAAAAAATATTAAGAATCTTTTTAATAATATTCATAAAGGACCGCACACTGCAATATTTACTCAGTTTTGTAACTTTTTTATTTACGTTTTAATAAAATAAAACTTATTATTCATATAACTTTTTTGTTTGAATGAAATCAAAGAAAAATCATTTTAACACGTTCCCTGTCCGCTGAGCCACATAATAGTTCAGGAAACGTGTGCTTGAAAAGCACTAATACGTACGGGCACATATACAATTTCTACAGTGAATATTTCTACCGGACATGAAGGGACTGTACTGTTTCTGCACTGGACGTACAGGTACGATCATAAACTAAAGAAAAACGCCGGGACGTACGAAAAAATATTTTAATTTTTCTAAGAAATCATAAATTTTACTTATTATAATTTTTTTGGAAACAGCATAAACAAAAAGATTTTTTGCATTGCAAACACTCAGTATCCACTCGTTTCACTCTTTTAGCAGCAATTTCCTGGTTTGTACCTTCTTTTCGCAAGTCTTCGTAGCATCCATGGCATCGTTTTCGGACAATTTTATTGTCCTCTTTCCTCGGAATTTTAGACAGAAAGTGCTGAATTGTGATCGAGCTAGTAGATGGTCTTGGACTATTAGTCAATGAAATTGCACTTGCATATGATGCATTGTTCAATTGCAAGAACTCCCTAATAATATTATATAATATTATTAAGGAGGGAGACTCCCTAATAATATATAATACATTGTCCTTCTGTCGAGTAACTATTTCACCTTTTTTAGGTCCTATTTTTTTCGATCTTATTGCCCATGGAAGTTCTTTTCTATTTACTCGCAAAGTGCCGCATAAGTCTGTCTTATGCTGCAGCAAATATTTTGCTAATCCAACGGTATTGTAATAGTTGTCGCACACAATTATCCGTCCAGTTTCTAGAAGACCATCACATAACTGAACTACGACACTTCCCGGCTTATCCAAATCAGCGATCTCCTGGTCGCGACCTATGTAAATGTCATAGTTCCAGACAAAACCATCTTCTGTGCAAAGTTTATAGATTTTCAAGCCGTATTTGTGAGCTTTTGATGGGTTGTACTGACGGAAAGAAATCCTCCCTCTAAATGGCATCATCGACTCGTCAATGACGATACATTCATTAGGTGTCAGTAAGTTCTTCCAGTTGTTGATAACAAGGTTCAAAAGTGGTTTTATTTTGTACAGACGTTCGTTTTGATCCCTCGGAGCTTCGTTATCAACAAAGTGCCAGCAACGTAATATTGATGAGAAGCGATTATACGACATGTTTACATTGTGAAATATTGGATGGTAGTAAATAGTCTAATTTCCAACACGATTCAATCGTCGGAAATTTCACAATACCCATCAACATGTACAAGGCCATAAATTTCAACATTTCTTCACGTGTAATGTCTGTCCACCGATTCATGCGACTATGAACTGATATGTTGACGTTCTGTTTCAGTTGAGAAGCGTACAGATTTGTTTGAGTGAACATAAGATCTAACACTTCGTCGGTCAATATACGTCGATAAATGGAAACAACAGATTGTTCACCTTGGATATGAATAGTTGGGCTGTTATTATAACGTTGACGTGACAGTGGTAAGATGTCCTGACTCCAGCCATTTTCTCTATCCATATCATTTATTTCTTGCAAAGTAAGCCGCATGATCTCACCAGCAGTCCGCCTTCTGCTCGTTTCTGGCCGAGGTGAATTTATTACGATATCGGATAAATTATCAGCTGGTGAATCACTACCAATGTCATCGGTTACAATGTTTGAGCGGGAAATCTCACCTGGTTCAAAATCAGGATCATCGATATCGTCATCTGCAAAAATACTCGGTTCTTGATCTGAAATATCGGAATCTGGCTCGTCTTGTACATCGCTATCGCCGCCGTTCGAATCCGTGTCATCGTTACTCAATTCATAGTCAATTTCTTCCAGTATTCGTCGCAAGTCCTCAGTTGATAATCTTCGCGGCATTTTGAACAACAAAATCGCGTACAATATAACCTTCAAACAATTTCATGAACAGAATTCATAAATATGGCAATGACATAACATAATTGACAACATATCTATAATCTATTATCTATGGAAAATATTCCACAGATAATCAAATGTGCACAAGTTCGTAAATGTCGTGAAAATACATTAATAATAATAGTAAAGTAATTAATAAAATAAATACTTATGAAAAACTCATAAATATAAAAAAAATATTCCCTGAACCATATGTGGTTCATGCACGTGCAGGAGCAAAAATGTCTCTTTACGCTCATGAACCATATGTGTTTCAGGGAAATAAAGCCTACTTTTAGTTATTTTTTTTAAATGATATTATTACTAGGGCTACACTATGACTATAAAAAAACAAATTATTCAAAAAACCCTATTGGACGTGTCGGTGAATTTAGCATTTTTGTATGGGACAGGAAACGTGTTAAAAACTAAGCTTATTACAATATTCTTTGTAGAAATTTAGATAATCTTAAATCACTGCTGCTTTAACGACGGTGACGACTTTACAGACGGTGCAGACTTGCGCTGCGCAGACTGTTGCACGGACAAAAGTATGTGCGACTCACATGGTCCACACGATACAAACATGTTAGTAGTTTTTTAAACCTCGTGGTGTGCGGACGGTTGCAATGGCAGATATCAATCGACGGCGTCGTTTATTACAACTAGCTGCTTTTACGATTTTATTTGGAAAACACGTACCAAGCGCAGTAAATGGTCGAAAAAATGGCTATTAAACAGACAAAGGTACTCGCATACAACTTTACTGAAGGAATTAGCAACTAACGAAGAAAATTATTTTAGAAATTACTTGAGAATGGATTTGGCCACTTATATCCATTATTGTTAAAACAAGACACATGTTTGAGAAAATCTATATCTCCACACAAAAATATTGTCAGGAACTTTACGATACCTTGCAACAGGACGCTCATATGAGGATTTAAAATTCACAACTTTCGTTTGCAAACAAGCATTAAGCTTAATTATACCAGAAACCTGCGAAGCTATAATTTCAGTATTGAAAAAGGATTATTTAAAGGTACCTACTATAATAAAAATAATAATACATTTCATACTCATTGTTTTTATTTTTATTATTAAAAAATTTTTCAGAAGTCAAACAGTTTAGTGAGTAATGTAGAGGTACAAATGCAGATGTAGTAAAACATTATTCATGGTTGATAGTTTCGGACATAACAACTTGCTGTGGTCCATTGGTTGACTGTTTGAGATTGAGACAGAGTGTTTATAACTTGTGTATTTAAAATGGATCGAGACTTCAATTAATTTTCTCCGCCATCAGCTCCGACAGATATTTGGTAACAATTTCTTGAGTGTGCTGGCTAAAGCTTTGGTCTGGTGATCATGACGCACAACGCTGCGGTATGCGCCCCAACGCAGCGTCACGACGCAGCATTTACCGCGGAGAGGTGGTCAGTTGATTTTGCCGTAGCTACCAATGTAGACGTGAACATGAACAATTTTTCTGTAATTTGTGCTTTGCTTGAAGAGGAGGAAGAAGAAGAATTTTTACTGCTTCTGAATAGGCAAAGAAACTTTTCGAGGAACATGTTTTTACAACGGAGGAGTGAAGGTTGTTACGAAACCTTAATAAAAAGGCATTTAATTGATTGTGAAGAAAAATTCATGGGTTACTTTCGGGTTTGAAGGGAGATCTTTAACAAGATTTTAATGGCCATAAAAGATGATATTAGTGACACACAGCCTAGAACCAGAAAACGGAATTTTGCTATTACGGCACAAGAAAAACTATTCTTAACGTTAATGTAAGTTAAATGAATTTATTTCAGTAATTAAATAAAACAATTCATAATCATATTATTTTGTTTACTGGCAATATTGACTTTGTTTAAGTAACAAAATAAGGCGGTGAAACTAACGCCGCCACTACATTAAAAATAATAAATCGACGAGCAAATCGAAATTAAAAATCGAAAACAGTAAGTCGGTATACGAGGGGTGATCCAAAAGTAATGATAATCGGTTACTTCAGGTCCGCATAAAAATCCAAAGAAAATATTTTTTGCTTGCTTATATACTCACTACGTCAGCCTAAAAAAATCATATAAATAGATCACGATTTCCGGGAGATACATTCATTGGAATACGAACTGTCAAACAGATAACATCAACGTAGAGAAAAACTAAATTAGAGCTGTCATCAAGTACCTCTGTTTAAAAAAAATGTCTTCAAAAGACATACACAGTGACTTAGTGGAAACATTGGGGGACTCTGCTCCTCCATATTCTACAGTTGCACGCTGGGCTAAGGAGTTTAAACTGGGCAGAACATCCACTGAAGATGAACATCGCGAAGGACGCCCATCCACGTCCCTCACTGAAGACAACGTGAAAAAAGTCGAAGATGTTGTGTTGGCAGATCGAAGAGTGACCATCAGGCATGTAGCTGAGGTCACAGGGATCTCATATGGCAGCGTTCAAAGAATCCTTGCGAACGAGTTGCATATGAAAAAGGTCTCTGCGCGTTGGGTACACAGAATGTTAACCGACGAGCAAAAGAAAAATCGAGTTGACATTTCGAGGGTCAATCTCGAAAAGTTCCAAGCAGATGAAGAAAATTTTTTGTTCCGTTTTGTGACTATGGACGAGACCTGGATCCACCATTTTGATCCTGAAACGAAACAACAATCGATGACTTGGAAGCGAGCCTCCTCACCGACGCCAAAGAAATTCAGAGTTTCAAGTTCGGCGGGAAAGGTTATGTCATCTGTTTTTGGGACGCTCAAGGCATAATTATGGTGGAATATTTGGAAAAGGGAGCCACTTTTACGGGCTCTTTCTACGCAGACCAAATAAGAAGATTACGGGAGGCCATTAAGGAAAAAAGACGCGGCAAACTGCGAGCTGGAGTGCTGTTTCACCAAGACAACGCACCGGCTCACAAAGTCGCAGTTGCGATGGCTGCCATCCAAGAAACGGGATTCGAACTGCTCGAACACCCTCCTTATTCGTCAGATCTAGCTCCTAGTGATTTCTACCTCTTTCCTCGGCTCAAGGAACGCCTCCGAGGCAAGAAATTCGAAGACGATAGCAAAGTAATGGCCGCTGTTGAAGCGTTTTGGGAGAGTCAAGACAAAGAATTTTTTTCAAAGGGAATCCTGGGTTTGGAAAAAAGATGGACTAAATGTATTGATTTGTTAGGAGACTATGTAGAAAAATAAATTATTATTTTAACTTTAATTACCGTGTTTTATTTTCATTATCATTACTTTTGGATCACCCCTCGTAACATCAAAGTATGTTGAATGATTACTGTGGGGATGGTGTTTCTCGTTGCGAGTTGTATGCGTGGATTGGTTGCTGTGGTATGTTGAATGATTTCTGTGGGGATGGTGTTTCTCGTTGCGAGTTGTATGCGTGGATTGGTTGCTGTGGTGTGTTGAATGATTGCTGTGGGGATGGTGTCTCTCGTTGCGAGTTGTATGCGTGGATTGGTTGCTGTGGTGTGTTGAATGATTGCTGTGGGAATGGTGTCTGTCGTTGCGAGTTGTATGCGTGGATTAGTTGCTGTGGTGTGTTGAATGATTGCTGTGGGGATGTTGTCTCTCGTTGCGAGTTGTATGCGTGGATTGGTTGCTGTGGTGTGTTGAATGATTGCTGTGGGGATGGTGTCTCTCGTTGCGAGTTGTATGCGTGGATTGGTTGCTGTGGTATGTTGAATGATTGCTGTGGGGATGGTGTCTCTCGTTGCGCCATGACCAATAATTCCATTTCAATAACGATGTTACAAACTTGTGCTCTGATTTGAGCTATTTTGTCCGGAGGAAATTGACAAACTACGTCGGCCATACTTCTAAAGAATATGTGTACTGGAGTATTTCCTTTTTCTTTAATTTGTCTCAACATGTTTGTTTTTTCTTCTCTATTCTTTTTAAACTCTTCGACAAGGAAGACACTTCTTTTTTTCTTTTTCACTTGTTATGTACCTTGAGTTTTGTTTGGTGTTATTGAATGTCCTTCTTGCGATGGTTGTTGTAAAATAGATTCACATGGTGAATTCGGCGTTGAACTCGGCGTTGAACAAGTTGGTGGTCCTGAACATATCTCTACTGGCAAATTGTTTTCTTCATCAACCTCAAGAACATTTCCGGGATTTAAATTAGAAATAGACTCCCTTTCTTCAAAGCTGTCATTTATGAATTTAAGTCTCGTCGTCATACGGAAGAAGCACTTCCGGTTTTCTTCTTATTCTGATTTTTTCTATAATTGTCTAAACTGAAAAACGATGTCCTAAACATTAAGATATTTTTAGTACCTATCTACATAATTAGGTATGCAGTTTTTGTTCTAAAGCCTAAGTGTATGTAAGTGCAACGTAGAAGTCCATAGAATCTAGTTAACGAACCTGCTTTTTGGGCATTGGTTTTGCAGTAACTATAAGTGTTTTTTTATATTAATTGTCGTAAACTCGTAAGTTATCGTTTAGTAAGATGTAAAATACACTCCTTTCTAAACGATCATTAGAAAATCCTAAATCTTTACGAATATTTTTCTTCAGCATTAATCTAACTATTCATAATCGAGTACGAACTCATTCAATAGGTAAAGTAGGTTTTTTAAATTATACTTTTAGGGAATAATATAAAAGAATATAAAGAAATGGTACTTTAATATTTTTACTGTAGCTTCTTTTTGCAACTTTAATCGAAAGAAATTCAAAATGTAATTCTGATTAATAAATATACAACAGTTCATTTAAAATTTAAAAATCGATTACAATTGATTGGGCATCCCTAATCATTTTTCGACACCACATGATGTTTGGCGAAGATGGCGGCGATTAATGTTATTAGTCGAGGATAATACTTTTTAATGTTCATTTTTGCACGCAGCTAGTCCGTGTTATAAAAGTGTTTGCAAATAATATAATAAAATAGAAAATGAATGAATGAATGAATGAATATACTTTATTGTACACCACAAACTAATAAACAAATTACATAACAATAGACAGGTTAAATGTACAATTTGGCGGCCTTATCGCTACATAGCGACCTCTTCCAGGCAACCAAGGATGTAAAGGAATAAACAATGAATACTGGGTAGGTGGTGCAATATAATTATACAAAATATAATATCAATACATGCGATATATAGACAATAAATGCAATAAAATAACATATAAATAACTAACCCATGAAATGATATAAAATTACTAATACATAATAAAAGATAAAGTAAAGCATATAATACATACATAAACATACATATATAAGAGTATATAAACAAACTTATATATTATCTACCTAAAAATACATAAATAAATTACAAATTTCCTCAAACAATAATATAAAGTTGATAAATACAATAAATACATAATCACATAATTATCCTAACGGTCTCCGGACGATTGAGACAAGTAATGTTCTTTAAGTAGTCTCTTAAAGATTACAATAGATTGTGCTTCACGTATGTGCAAAGGTAGGGCATTCCAGAGCTTAATAGACTCGACAGTGAACGATTTATTATAAAACGATGTTTTGTGAGTTGGTACCCTTAAAACTAATTTTCTAGAAGAGCGTAGAGGTTCCCCCGGAATCCCCACAAAATTAAACTTCTCTTTTAGATAGGGAGGAGCAGAAGGATGAAATAATACAGTAGAGAATAGAAAGAATATGCATGTTCCGGCGAAGTCGGATAGGTAACCACTTGAGACGTGAGCGAAATTGGGAAATATGGTCATATTTGCGCAATCCAAATATGAACCGAATACTAGTATTTTGAAGTCTCTCAAGCTTATTTAGCTGGTCCTCAGTTATGTCTACATAGCTTGCGTCAGCATAGTCGAGGATCGGAAGGAGAAGAGACTGTGCGAGCATAATTTTTGTAGGAATGGGAAGAAATGATCGAAGGCGACGCAGTGAACAAAGAGCGACAAAGGTTTTCTTACTTACCTCATTCAGTTGGCGTATCCAATTTAAGGAATTATCAATATAAATACCAAGGTTTTTGACATTGTCAAACTAAGGGATTACAACTCCATCGAATACTATAGGTGGTATGGTGAACCAATCAACTCTTGAGATAAAACTCTGGCTACCAATAATGATAGCCTGAGACTTTTTAGGGTTCACATTTAGGCCATATGATTTACTCCAATCATGAATAATATTTAGATCGTTATTCAATGTAGCGATTGCATTCGGCAAATTCTCAAGAGTTGACTGTGTGTAAATCTGGGCATCATCCGCATACATGTGGTAGAGAGAAGATATTTTATGAGTAATTGAATTAATGAAAATGGAAAAGATTAAAGGTGACAACACGCCACCCTGCGGCACGCCTGCAGTAATATCACACCAAGATGAGTGAGTTTCATCGAAACGAATACACTGCCGACGGTCACAGAGATAACTTTGAAACCAGTTAATTACTGATGGAGATATGTTAAGGGAACACAACAGACTCAACAGTATATCATAGTCAACAGTATTGAACGCATTACTGAAATCCAGCAAGGTCATGACTGTGAGTAGTTTATTATCCATACCCCATCGTATGTCATCAGTAACTTTGATTAAGGCAGTAGCCGTACTATGACCAGGAAACCGGATTGTAAAGAATTTAATAAATTGTGCTCATTGAGGAAAAAAGTCAGCTATTGGCAAATTAGTTTTTCAAGGACTTTAGAAAGGAAAGGTAAGATCGAGATGGGACGAAAATTAGAGGGGTTGACGGGATTAGATCTCTTCGGAAGGGGTATAACATGAGCACTCTTCCAGGCTTGAGGGAATTTAGAGGAAGAGACAGATGCATTAAGTAAATGAGTGATAATGGGAGTGATAACATCAAGGAGAGGAATAATCATATTACGGCTAATGTTGTCGCTACCGACAGCATTTGAGGAGATGGATAATATGATCTTCTTAACATCACATACAGTAAACTGACTAAAAACTAACGGAGGACAATTAGGAGTCGGAGTTACAGAAAGAGAACGAAGTGTTTGCAGTTTATGGACACTATCAAAAGAGTTAGAAGGATTAGAAAAATGTTGATTTAATAGTTCAAAATCAACACTAGGAGGTGAAGCATGTAGGGATGTTCTACCAACTCCAACTGTTTTAAGAAACTTCCACACCCTAGATGAGTCGCCGTTCCCGACTGATATATGAATATGGTGTCGTTGTGCATCTCTACATAATGTGTTGCAGCGATTCCTGATTTTGGCGTATTTCCTTAAATTTTCATCTGTTTTATTCCTCTTAAGCTTTGACAATGCCGCATTCTTCTTTAAAATAAGCCTTTTCAGATCATCTCAGAGCCATGGAGCAGGCAAGTGTTTGAGTCTCACATAATGCATTGGCGCGTGAACGTCGTAAAGCTGCGTGAGTAGGGAACAAAAAAGTTCCACTTTATCGTCAATGCACGGAGCCTTCTCAATCACTGACCAGTCAATATTGAGAGCATCTTGACAAAGTTGGCCAATATCCATTCCTCCAAAATTACGTCGCAGAACTAATTTAGGTTTGATTTTAGGAGGGCGTAGTTTATACGAAAGAAAAATTAAATCGTGATAAGAGAATGCATCAGCAGGACACTGTCCATGCTTGAAAACTAGATTTGAAGATGACACCATTATTAAGTCAAGAAGGGAAGGAGTACTGTTAGGAAAATTATGAGTAGCAGAAAGGGGTAGGATTTGCTTATTACACGCTTCAGTTATAGACTCAAGTTTTATAGCCCGATTGTCGCCTTTAAGTAAACAGGTGTTAAAGTCACCCATCAATATAGTGTGACTATACGTAGGGACTAGTGATTCTAAGAGAGATTCGAAAGAAGTAAAATAGTTTACAAAAAGAGAGGGACTGTAGAAAACTCCAAGTAGGATTTTATTCTGAGACAGGGAGACTTCAACCAGCAAATGCTCAGCAGAATCAACAGGAGGTGGTTGACTTGACGAACTAACAATTTTAAATGGAAAGTAGGATCTAAGATAGATCGCCACGCCCCCACCACCCCTATTAGTGCGATCATTTCTAATTAGATAAAACCCAGGCAAAGAATAAGAAGTGGAAGGAAGACAGGGTTTTAGCCAAGATTCTGAAACTAAAATGGCGTGAATATTTTGGGATTCAAATGACGCAAGCATGTCAGGATAATGATCCGGAATGCTTTGGGCGTTAATATGAATAGCATTGAAGTTATTCACACAGTCTGA